ATGACTTACCTCCGGCTCTTTTTAAAGATGGTGGTGACTTTTTGACTAAGGAATTGACGACGTTGTTTACAAAGGTTTGGGATCTAGAGAGTGTACCAACGTCATGGAATGATTCGATAGTTGTCCCTATCTTTAAAAAGGGTTCACGTCGTTCTTGTAACAACTATCGGGGGATAAGTTTACTTCCGATTGCGTCCAAGCTATTGGCTTCCGTCATTCTTCGTAGGTTGTTCGAAACCCGAGAAAGATTGACTCGCGAGGAGCAGGCTGGGTTTCGTTCTGGTCGAGGATGTATTGATCATATCTTCACCCTCCGCCAAATGTTAGAACACCGCCATACTTTTCAAAGGCCAACAATCGTAGTGCTTCTTGACATCAGGGCTGCCTTCGATTCGTTGGATAGGACTGTTCTCTGGGATTGTCTATTGAAGAAGGGTGTGCCTGAGAAGTTTATTAACATCCTAAAAGCCCTGTATAAAAACACCTCAGGCAGAGTGAGGGCATACAACCACCTCTCTCCATTGTTCTATTCGAGCAGTGGGGTTAGGCAGGGTTGCCCAATCTCACCATTCCTCTTCAACTTTGCCATCGATGACATTCTGGAAACAGCTCTGATGAATGTAAGTAATGGTGGTGTGGATCTGTTGCCTGGAGAAAGACTTCTCGACCTTGAGTATGCGGACGATATTGTCTCACTGTGCGATAATGCCCAAGGCATGCAATCCGCACTTAATCAGTTGGCAATCAATGTCCGTAGGTATGGTATGTGCTTTGCACCTTCGAAGTGCAAAGTACTTCTACAAGACTGGCAGGATTCTAATCCTGTACTCACCCTGGATGGTGAGCAGATAGACGTAGTCGAGAAGTTCGTGTATCTGGGTAGCTACATAAGTGCTGGTGGGGGTGTGAGTGATGAGATCAATGCACGAATAGTGAAAGCCAGAGCGGCTTATGCCAATCTGGGCCACCTTTGGCGCCTTCGTGATGTTAGTCTGGCTGTAAAAGGCCGGATCTACAACGCGTCGGTGAGAGCAGTTTTGCTCTATGCTTGTGAAACCTGGCCTCTCCGAGTTGAGGACGTTAGACGACTCTCTGTGTTCGATCATCGCTGTCTCCGAAGGATTGCTGACATTCAGTGGCAACACCATGTCAGTAATGCAGAGGTTCGGCATCGTGTGTTCGGGCACAGAGATGATAACTCAATTGGTGTCACCATCTTGAAACACCGACTTCGGTGGCTTGGACATGTTCTCCGAATGTCGTCCCAGAGAATTCCACGTCGTGCATTATTTGCCGACTCTGGGACTGGTTGGAAGAAGCGGAGAGGTGGTCAGTGCATGACATGGTGTCGTGGGATGAAAGAAAGCTGCAAAGGACTGGCTTGTGTTGGTCCTTCACGACTCCCTGGTTGGGGTCCGAGAGATAGTGCAACAAAGTGGCTAGAGACGTTATCAGATATGGCTCAGAATAGAAGCCAGTGGCGATCCTGCTGTAACCTTTTACTTTCTTCATAAAAAGTGGTTGTGTCTCCTTTACCTGAAAGATTTCTTCTGATTGTACCTCTTCGTCATTACTCTCTTTTTCTTTTGCGTTCCTTAGTTTTTTTTTTCTTTCTACTTCTCTTCGAATTCCCATTGTTTTGTGTGGCGCATATATATTGGCGCTCTCTTGTACCAATATTTATGTGTTCAAATAAATAAATAAATAAGCTGCCCTTCCTCGTTTCAGATTAACTATAGCATTTTGAACTTCAGCAAGAGTTGGGGGACCTACTTCAATGTTCCATTCACATTGTCTGGGAATGGAGGGTAGCTGTAGAGTAGCTGAAGGCCAGCTGAACTGTTCTCTAAAATGTTCCGTCCATCGTTCTAAACGTGTGGACTGGGAGCAGATGAGAGTATCATCTTTTTCCGAAATAATCTCACTTACACTTGACTTATTAATTCCAGTTTCTTTTATTAGTCTGTAGAGCTGTCTTGTGTTCCCTATAGTCTCCGCCTTTCCTAGATCTGATTTGTTGTCGCTCTTCATCATGTTCGAAACCTGATGGGATGAGTTTAGGAGAATCCATTAGTGCAATAGACCTTGAGGAAATCCATTGGTTCTTTGTAACCCTGTGGTTTAAATCAGTGATATATGTCACTGTTGTTTCCACAGCTGTTTGCATAGCTTTCTAAGCAACATCTGGGTCAGCCTCGTTTTCAGAACTACCTAAGTGTGACCTCAGTTGTTCCTGGAACCTACTTTTAGTTTTCTCTCTACTCAATTCAGTTCTAACGGGTCTTTTTAATGTGGCTTTTTTGCGTCCAGTGAGGCGCAAGCAGATGCGTGCCCGTATTAGGGCATGGTCGGAGTCCAAGCAGGTACTCCAGAATGAGCGACAATCTTCTACCGACCCTCTCCAACGATGACTGATGGCAATATGGTCTATTTGAGTCCATTGTTGGTTTGGTGCAACGGGTCTTCATGCTAGCCGATGTCTCTCTTTATGCTTAAAATAGAAAAACCAAATAGTAAATCGTGAATTTGCAAAATATCATTCCATCATATCAAACCGGACTGTTGCCGTTGCAAACATCAATCCATTGTCTCACATTTCATTGTTCACGCGGTTTCTTAGAAATTCCATTGTATTCTTGTTCTTCCCCCATCTTCTGCTGCGAGACATTACGTTCTTTAACTCGCGTTATATACTACTTATATCAATATAAGTAGCACGCACCACTGTCGGAGCTTGTCAACGAGTTGGAAGCAGCAACTGCATCTAGTAACTCATCTGAGTCACTGACGCGGAAGTCTGCAAGGAACTCCAACTCTTGAAGTCTCACAAATCACCAGGCCCAGATGACCTACGTCCGATCTTTTTTAAAGGTGGTGGTGACTTTCTGGTTAAGGAACTGACTGAGTTGTTTACAAAGGTCTGGCTATTAGATAGTGTTCCAATATTGTGGAATAAGTCAATAGTCGTCCTTATATTTACGAAGGGTTCACGTCGTTTCTGCAACAACTATCGGGGAATAATTCTTCTGATCACGTCCAAAATATTGGCTTTCGTCATTCTTCGTAGATTGTTCAAAATCCGAAAAATATTGGCTTGCAAGGAGCGGACTGGTTTTCGTTCTGATCAAAAATATATTGATCATATGTTTACTCTCCGACAAGTGTTAGAACACCGTCATATTTATCACAACCCAACAATTGTAATTTTTCTCTACATTATGACCGCCTTCGATTCATTGGACAGAACTGTTCTCTGGGATGGTCTATTGAAGAACGGTGTGCCTGAAAAGTTTCCTAGCATCTTAAAAACCCGATATAAAAACACTTCAGGTAGAGTGAGACCATACAAGTACCTCTCCCCATTGTTCCGTTCAAGCAATGTGGTTAAGCAGGGTTTCACAATCTCACAATCCCTCTTCAAATTCACTATCGATGACGTTATGAAAACAGTTCTGATGGATGTAGGTAGTGATGATATTGATCTGTTGCCTGGGGAAAGATTTCTCGACCCTGAGTATGCGGGTAATATTGTCTTTCTGTGCTACGATATATAAGTCAGGAAATCCGCACTTATTCAGTCTGCAATTACTGTCCGTAGGTAACGTAAGTGCTTTGCAGCTTCTAAGTGCAAAGTACTTTTACAAAACTGGCAGGACCCTGATCCTGCACCCACCCTGGGTAGTTAGCAGATAGAAGTAGTCGAGAAATTCGTGTTTCTGAGTAGCTGGGTAGTGAAAACCAGATCGGTTTATGCCACTCTGGGCCATCTTTGGCGCTTTTCTGATGTTCGTCGGACTGTAAAAGGTCGGATCTACAACGCGTCAGTGAGAGCAGTTTTGCTATATGCTTGTGAAACCTGGTCTTTTCGAGTTGAGGATGTTAGACTACCATCTGTGCTTGTTCATTGTTCAGTGGCAACACCATGTTAATGCATAGGTTCGGCAACGCCAGTCCGGGACACAGCGACAGTAATTCAATTGGTGTCACCTTCTTGAAACACCGACATCGACGGCTCGGGCGTGTCCTATGAATGTCGTCCCAGCGAATTCCACGTCGTGCATTATTTGCCGACTCTGAAACCTGTTGGAATAAGTGGGGTGGTCATTGGATGACATGGTATAAAAGAAAGCTGTATAGGACTGGCTTCTGCTGGTCCTTCATGACTCCCTGTTTGGGGTTCCTAGAGATGATGCGGCACAGTGACTTAAGACGTTATCAGACATGGATCAGAATAGAAGCCAGTGGCGATCCTGCTGTAACTTCCTGTTACTTCATACAAAATGAACGTAACTTCGACTGGAAGAATTCTTTCTGGTTGTACTTTTGCTAACTGGACTGCCTCTCCCGTTATTATGATTTCCACCTCATACACTAATTCCCATTCGTTGTTGTTGTTCTTTTTCCTATGCGCACTTTACATTCTCTATCTCTTCACAACCTCATTGTTGTTGTGTGGCACATATGTATCTAGCATCGCCTTGTACCAATGTTTATGTGCCAAAATAAATAAACTAACTCGAAGTTTTGAAATACTACCTGGTGGACTTTAGTAGTGAATAAACATCAATAAAATAGATATTCCTTCAGTAATAACATTAATGTCACTTATTATAGATATTGAAAGCGACACTGTTTAATTTATTATTCTTATCTCTTATTTTGACACATGATACATAACGCATGCATCACATCACTTCCTCTTTTGATTTTTGTATTTATTTTCAATAAAATGAGAAATTACTAATTAGATCAGTTTTTAATGTAAGAGTTTCAGTTTTCCACTTTATTGATTGATATTATGGTATGCATCGGGTCAGTCTATCGACTCAATGTTATCAGCTCTTCAACTAACTTAAATATTCCCGTTAAACTATCATTACTGTTTATGCCTCAACACAAATTTCAGTTTTTTTTTCAACCTAATTAAATTTCTAAGACTTTGACTGTACTAATGTTATATCACTTTTATAAAGTTAATATTTTAATTTCTTACTTTACAGACTCACCACTGTATATCTAAACTCCCACCTCGAGATGCTAGCATTACGAAATTGTGCTTAGATCCTAATGGTGAATCCATTTATGTTGGCTATTATGACCATTATTTTGGTGAATACAACTTACAGGTTAGTAGTTTTTATTTATTTCTCCATGAAGAATTCTTTATGTTGGTTTTCTTGTTTTCTGTTTTTCTTGTAAGATAGACACAAATTATCATGATTATTTAGCTCTCTACCTTTGCTATGGAAAATATGATTAAAATATACAGTCTTCATTTTTCTATGTTGTTGTTTTATTGAACTGTATATGTTTTTCATTCTAGTCTGACATCTGGTTACAATTATATCTTGAGAAGTACTTCGAGAATATTCATTTACTTTTTTTCATCGGGATATAAACAACAAATGAATATAAGCTACATTTCTCTGTCCGTACTTGTATTTTGAGAGGAAGTAATATTTGATTTCTGTGACTTCTGTAATAACATGAAATCATATATTAAGTAGAACATTTTTTAAAATAATGCCTTGTTTGACCTTTGAATGGACCACTAACAATGCTTTATTTAGTTTGCGAGAGAGATGCTGAATTGTTATGTTCAACAATCAAATGGCATTTTGTCGAATTAAAAATAGACTGACTGTTGTGGATGCGGAGGAATAGACCAATAATTATCATGTTAAGTCCAATGATGTCCTTGGACTTTAAATGGACATTTCCTATTGGTCGATATCTGTTCACTTGTTGAATATTGTACAAAATGTTGTTTTCTGTTTTATGGTACGATGTGGTATGCTTGACTGGTATATAAACAAAGTATGTTTGAAATATAGTGATTCATATCTCAGAGGTTGTGGCTCGTGTTCTGGACGCAACTGACTGGGATAGACAGGGAAGCGCAAACCAATCGAGACTCTAGGCCGTCCATACGTGTTTACGTGTCACTGTAATCGATCGATAACACAGGGTAAAAATCGACCACAACTTAAAGCCATAACACTGACGTTTTTCACTTTTGTCAAGATTGTACAATATTTTATACTCTGCTATTGGTAACCTGTAACACAATTCAGTAGGTTATAGTCATCCCAAATCTGGCGATAAAATTGCATCATTTTTACCATATCAGCACCCCGAGACAAAGTGACGAAAGTCGATTTTATGCTTCTCATAGTTATGAGCTACTGACACTGAAGGTATCACATAATCCTTACCTATTTCATTTTGTTCTTTATTTTTCTATAGACCAGTTTGCTGGTACATAAAAATACTTTTTCTAGTCGTATCGCGGCACTAGCAGTTGCCCCATCACCTGAAGTTCCATTTATATTTTTGGGCCTCTTTAATGGTGACATATTGCGTTATAATCCTGGGACACATGCAATCGGTTTTCTATGCCGACACACAACTGATTGCTACCAATCTGATTTTGCAAGTGATAAAACGAAAAATTGCTTAAAACAGCAAGCACAAACTTCGGACTCAAATGAATCGGCTGGTATCACTTCACTGTGTCTTGTTCAATCAGGAACCTCTTTACTATTAATTGTTGCTGGTTTAGTAAGTTTTCTTTTACAAATTTGACTAAATCCTCTGTAATTATTCATTTCATTTCTTCTGTGTAAGTTAAATGAATATTAATTTGAATGAACGGCTTGGTGGAATTGTGTATTTTATTTTTGGAGATAAGAACTTCTTACGTCTGGAATCACTAGAATCATAAGTCATCATTCTTATTACTACCGTAACACTATGTAGCTTGTGATTTTTTCCCAACTTCTGTATACTTTAACAAATTATGGGAGTTAATTTCAAATGTGTCACTCTACATAGTAATAGTAGCCTTTTAGATAACTAATCTTATCCTATCTATCTTTTTTATTCCAAATTTTAGGACCGATCTATTTCTATCCGCTCAGCCAGCGATGGTACATTAGTGTGTTGCATCCAAAGTTCTGTCCAAAAGGGACCGCCACAAGATATATCATGTTTACCCAAAGGCTCATTTTTCTCATCCTATTCTGATCGTTCCATTCGCATTTATAATTGGAAGGTAATTATAGAAGTTGATGCAGTAAGATTATGTTTGCTAAAATTTTCACCCGACAGAACATTAATAAATTAATCAAAGAAATTGCATGTTTAACAAAAATGAACAATTTTACTACCCGTAGTAATATGTTGTTTGTGTTACTCTACTAAACTCGCAGTTCCTCAGTGACTTGAACATTATTTCTATAACAAGTGAAGTGAGTCTGTTATAATTCTCTCTTATGTCCCGCTAACAAAGTCGAAGACTACTGAGTTTGTAACTGTGAGACTTTATTCAGCTTTTCACATGAACTGCAATCAAAATTGAGTATCTCGTAAGAATATACTCCAGTAACCTCAGTTGATATAACTTAATAACCTAATCTTGTTCTATACTTATTAACCGGAAAGTGATAATAATTTTGCCTCTTGCTGGTGTTTTTTTTATTTTTTGCCACGGCAAAGACGTCAAACAATTAAGCCACACTTTCTGAAGACTGTTTACTAGAATATTTCTATTCAACTCTGTCATAGGTATCATATCTACAAAAGAAGCTCCAATTGTTCAACTTTTCTAAAATTGTTATCAGATTTAGATAATTTAATCCAATAGGATATAGAGATTATATTGTTGTAATAGATGAAAACCTTGGTTAAATACAGGAACTTCTGAACATCTTGGGTGGTAACATGAGAATGTTGATACCTAGTTTTGCGGTAAATAAAAGCATTTGATCATTCTAGATGGTTCATTTATTGATACTTTTTAGATCAACTCTAGTGAATGATGAAATTTGCCAGGTATACACAACTGAGCCATTTAGCCTATTTCAAGTATCAATTACAGGATATTTTAAGATGAGATCAGTTTTCAGAGTCTCTTGAAGTTTCTAGATGACGCAAACTTCTCAGTTTTCCTCACTGTCAAATTGGGTTTATGAATGGCCTTGAAAATACTGAAGTATTATGTGCATTCTTGTCGGCATTACCGCGAAAACTATGAGTTAACGATTGCTTAATGTTAGTATTACAAAACTTGCTATTCATTTATGGGATATATTTCAGAGTATCGTAATATAAGTTTTAGTTTCATCAATCAATAGACCTGTGTTTTACTAGATAAAGGAGTCGACTTTCAGGTACTCTGATTTGGCTCGAATTCGGTTCTACTTACTTTGAACCGGACATGAGATGTTGTCAATAATTTTACCATTAAAAGTATGGCTGATAGTTCAGTGCACAAACTTGTACCTGGTTAATAAATTATGCTGAAATTATTATTTAATTTTCGTTTTTCATTGCTACCTGTTCGTTGAATCATATATAATGTCAAGAACTGTCCCATTTTTATTTTATTGTTCTCTCTTTTTCTTTTATTTGTTAAGACTGGATCTTCCGAATTAACTTTCCATGTTCATAAAATATCTAGTTCTTGTGTAATGCAACGCTATATTGCTGTAGGTGATTCAGAAGGCGCAGTTCGTGTTTACAGATTTCAAGTACGTTGAAATAGTTGATGAAAATGGATTTAGTTTAATAATGCATTTTATTTAATATATTCATCCTGCCACTAAATCTTCTCAAATCATAGTATTTCCTATTTGTTCTATCAACACCAAACTTTGAAAATTAAATAAACTTTTTGACTAGTTAACCTTGACTTCCTTAGTCATGTAGTATTAAGTGTGGATTACTTTTCCTAGTCAACTATTTTCACACTGTGCTCATTTTTTAAAATTAGAACAACACACATAAGCGAACAATATTGTTTTCATTTAGATCTTAATCAAATTTCACTCCAATATACGGTAATATTTATATGCATATATAAAATTACTAGACCAATCAAGACACTTTTTTAGTCAATTATAGATAGATAGGTAGTGATAAATTACATAACTAAACATGATAAATACAAGTGTGATGACATGTGTACTAGTTGTGATAAGAATAACAAAGGTTTGAAACCATGTCTCATAAGGAGAAATTGGTCAATAACTTGAAAACTTTAGACTGAAATAACATTTATAAAAAGTAAGATTACGTAATAAGAAGTGTTCAAATGATTAGACAATGAAGCATGTTTTTTAAAAAGGAATAAAGGGGGATGAAGGAAAATTAACGAACAAATAGTATGAAAAATAATAATCAATGAAATCTTTGATTAAGGCTAATTCAAATAGGGAAGAGATTAAGATGTTACAAATTTCTTATAAGTACAAAGACTTGGATTGCTAGCTCGAATTCCTATTGCTTTTGCTGTGTGAGAGTTGAGATCAAACCCTATATGAAAAACTAATAGGAATACGATAAATCACTGTAAATGACCTATTTCTGTCTATATTTATTGGCCCAAGATCTGACTCCATTTATATCATATATTGATTGTTATTGAAACATACATATCATCAATCGTCGTATAAAATTATCGACTTAAATGGCGTTAGTGAATAACGGAATTTTATAAGTCAGATACGAGAATGGATTTTTAAATACATATATTTTGTACCCTCATTGATCTGGACAGACAATCAGAGGAACGAAACAAAGAGAAGATAACGAAGCGAAATGACGCGCGGTGAAGGTGTGTGAGCCAACTAGATTTAATCAAGCGTTAATCAATATTTATAGTCAGACAAACATAAGCTACAGAAATGTGAGGAGTAAGATAAGATGTGCACACATACGCTGATATAAAAGCAGTCAAGATTGATAATCTAATAGTTAACATGATCAAAATGTTACTGAAGAAAGATGAATAAATTGGCTTATCCGGAAGGTAGGACAAACTATGTCGACCTATCATAGCAACCGACACTACAACTACATGACCGCTATCGATCAAGTGTGATGGAACAGAGCTGTGTATTGTTTCGGCGATACTCTATCCTAACCACGAAGTAAGGTGTTCACTAACTCGTTGACTCAGTTGTCTGGTTGTGCGCCTGATTGAGCTTTCTCCACAGAATCAGCTGAAATCATAGGTAAACATAATTGTGGCGGAACCAGATAACATCCTTTAGTTGAGGAATCACTATGGGTCGGGTCGATAACGATAGAGTTTAGTTGCGCCAAACGTTTTCATTGTTCTACTCTTTCTATCTCATAGCACATCATCAGCTATATCTCCACTGAATTGCAGCCTCAGAAAAAGAGATTTCTTACTGGCCGTTGATATTTCTATTCTCCTGTCCATTATATGCTAGTGTTTCCTCATGAAACTTTGCGGATAACCGATCTCAATCAATCTGTTATGAATAAGCTCTAATTCTTTGTAGTTTTATCTGGGCATATTTTCCTGGCTCCATTTGCAAAATGTCTAACTAGGTTTCTGTTATAATATATGTACTGGCCTGTTGAAGGACTTTTCCTATACACACTTCTACTGATAGTATCATTTTCTTTTCTGTTTAACAAAACATTACAAATTCCGCGATACAAAGACTTGGGTTGTTAGCTTGAATTCCTATAGCTTCTGCTATGTGTAAGACACGAGACTTATTATTTTTCGTTATGTAGTCTATTCCACTGTTATCATTGACTCATAAACTGCCTTGATTGGTCTAATAATTTCGTATATGCATAAAATATTATTGTATATTAGAGTAAATTTTGATGAGGATCTTATTGAAAACAATATTGTTCGCTTATATGTGTTGTTCTAATTCACAATGTGGTAATTTAATAAATATTATTGTAAATGGCCATAGAGGATTTCGAAATAAACCTCATGACAAACAAGTATTAACATGTGTAATTTGAAAAAAACTTCAGAACATTTTCTCTGGCAAAAGGTAACTGAATTTTGTAGTGAGTGACTTGTAAAGTATTAATTAATAATTTTAGAAAATCCATTACATTTATCTTACACTCCATTTTAACTGACAAGTATCCTTAACTCATCACTTTTGCTACATGATATACTGTTAGACGAACAAATTGTTGTTGACGGGGTATGATCTCCAATTGCATTAGAATACTTATTTTCACTCATGAATCGAGTCGAGTAAAGCGTTATCTTGCTTATTTCATATAGAGTTTTATTGTCCAATATTTAGTACATTTCTTTGAAGTAATGTAAAAGATCTGTACTTCGTCTGGTTGCTCACAGTAGTCTCATGTTCTTTAAGATGAATGGTTCAATTGTAAGATTTTCATTATTGCCAGAAAATTCTATAGTATTCTCTGATTATTTACATATATATATGTTTATTTATCACTATTGTGATACAAATTAGTTCTCGCAAAAGATGAATCCCCTCTGACAGATATTTGAAAAGATTCATTGTCTATTTTGTATACATGAATATGAAGTTTAGTATGGACATAAAAATTTGTCAATATTTGTCTACCTTGGATTGAATCAATAACAAATTTTCTATCCAAATATGAAATAGTCCCTTAAGGTCATGACATGACATTACTGCAGTGAAAATTGTGTGTACGTACTAAATATCATGAGTTCTTTCGTCCCTATAAAGTGTTTAAGCTTGTTAATTTCGAAAGGTTGTTTATTCTCTGCAGGATCAGCTTACACGAAATCGTGAAACTTCTGAATTTCGATTTTTTACTAGGAATACTGCAAATATATTAATAATCTACGATATTGTGTTTAGTTATTCATCTTCTTGTTTACGGTAAAATGATTCATTGTTCTATTTTGCGATTTTTTTATCGCGATACTGAATACTTCTATCAATACTACTTTTAGTTATCATTACATTTATAGCATACGAACATTGCTTGGACATTTATATAGCATTTCGGCAGTATTTTGTAAAAATAATGAACGATAAGAATGTAGCTGATCAAGTAATAAAGATAGTTTATGGTGGAGTTTGTCTGAAATCAGTTGACTATGCAATCGTTCAATATTCAGTTACATCTTTTATACAATATTATAAAAGTTATTAAGCTTCTGTCGAGACTTAAAAGGGTGTGAATAGCTTATACTCTGATAATCTCCCGGGCTCTGATTATCTACACACAACTTTAATCAAGAGCCTCTAGGTTAACTGGTAATTTATTTAATGTAAAATCAAACTGGTTCTAATTGATTGGAAATAAGACGTTTTTGCTCCACCTTTAAAGTAATTGATCTTAGTTCTTGAATTCGTAAGATCTAAGTCTTGTTGTCTTTTAGAAGGCGACCTTTCCATAAATCTAACTTTAAAAGGTTAGATTTTAACCTTGGAATTCTGAGATTCATCTTAAATGAGTATGAAAGCTAGCTGCCATCACGTCACGGCATTTGGAATTTTTTTAGCTTCAGTAAACTAGAGCGTAAATTATTTACTTATGTGAACACATCAACATTGGCACAAAGGGACACCTATACATATATATATATATATATATATATATATATATATATATATATATATATGCACACCACAAAATAATGAAGTTGTCAAGAGATCGAGAAAAGAAGGTGAGTATAATGAGAAAGAGAAATAGAGGTCCTCACGGACCTCCGCCTGTTTAGGGATAACAGGATAGTCTAGCTGAACTGTTCCTCGAACAACTGTCCATCGTCCAAGACATCTATGGGTGTTAGTGATTGACATCCCACAATCTTAAAAGATTGTTTCACTCACAACAAACTCCTTGTTGCCAGTGACTCAGATGAGTTACTAGATGCAGCTGCTGCTTCCAACTCGTTGACACGCTCCGACCAGCTGACTTGATCCTTACGCAAGCTTCACCCAATATCATTACGTAACAGTCTTTGTTTGGCGTCAAACTCGCGGTCACCTGGAATAGACTGACGGGCTTCAATGAGTTGTGAGGAGCCTGAAGAAACGCAGTGCTTATAAGCGGGACGTTTCGCGAAACCGTAAGCAAATTTACTCGTTGTTTTTATGGCGTCACACAACTGCAGCCCAATGCTCATCTATAATTTTCGGTGGGCTGATAGCTAGCCTTGAATCTAGCTCCGTTTGATATTTAGTTGTAACAGAAGCTGTGACCGATTTACTGACATCTGAATTCCAGCTGAGATGCAGGGGGAATGCAAGGATCCAATTGATCAGTGCTGCTTCATTTCTAGCGTGTAGTGCGATACCAACGGCAGCAAAACTAGACAAAGATGCCACAAATCCCCGGATAAACGCAAGTGAAACAAGCTTTTCGAAGTAACAGATGGAGAGCGAATTTGTAGCGCTTCACTAGTCTTGAATTCTGGTCTCTGATATACAACAGACATTGATATTAAGACTTTTTAAAGATATAGCCAACCCTATCTGTTGTCAGATCTGCAGTATTGTGCGGACGTTGAAGGACGCCAGTTTGAATGTCATTTATGGTTTCAAAAGGGCTGATTCAGAATTCCTATTGGTCGGTGTCATTCAACTTTCGATCATTCAGTCACTTGAAAACGTTTAGATAGGACAGGATTCCAACTATAATCTACCTGCTTTATGAGTTGAAAATAAAGGAATACCGAAAATTGTAATTAAAGGGAAAAGATAAGTGATAATATGTAAGATATAATCGAATGTGATCAAATAATTGTAAATATAATTTGTGAGACGTTAATTTTCAGTCCTGACCGTCATTTGATTTGTTTGGGCTAAGGTACTGCTCGGGTCCGTAAACCGATGCAGAGGATTTTCTCAGGATGCACTTGACTGTAGCTGCTACCTTAACGTGGTGATCAGGCTTGCTTATTCAACCGAGCTACATTGTCTGGAACGCATTTTCCTTTAGGTCCTACCATGATACTAAGATGGATTGGAGAACAGTTAGATTAGAAGCAGCAACTTAAAGTGTGAAGGCGAACTCTTGCTTCTGAATGCAAAGGGGTGCGACGGCAGTAAGGTGTTTCCTCCGGACAACCAGCATCTACAGCGATACCGCCTTCTCTCAACGGAATGAAAGAATTACAAAAGGTCGATCCTAAACATGTCACAGCTCTTATTACCCCATGGATTCCTGTTTGCTGATGCAAGGCCTTTTGAATTACGGAACCAACTTATCAAGAGATTCTCTTGTAAAGGCCGTGTTTGCCCATCCTCAAACAGTTGTCCCTTGAGTCCCGTGGTCATCTTCTTAGGACAGTACGATTACTAATCTACTTGCTTTCCTGGATACCTGAAGAAATATTCTTCCACGATGTGGGCAGCCGGAAGTGACAACCACCCCCACCTGGAATCCACTAATAGCATCAATATTTATAACTCACCGTATGCTGACAGCATAGCACAATATTGTATCTCATAGAAGTCACTGTTACTTCGTCACGGTCTTTATCCTATGATTTACTTATCAAATGTTATTAACCATTCGCTCAGTATGAATTACAAATATGGCATGACAGAGGTGTACGGTATAAGTTGTACGTGACCAGTTGTATAAATATTTGATCTACCATTCCATAAGATGCCACCACTTATTAAGGTCATGAACTAGTATATTCATTCTCTGAGTAGCAATATTTTATGTTTTGAAAAATCATTCAACTAGACCCAAGATTGATTTTTTTAATAACTGGCGTGTTATTTTAATTTAATATTTCAAAGCTTATATGCCTAGCCATTTCTACTTCTTTATAATCAGAAATCTATTCAACAGCAAAAATTAGGGGTACCGAGAAGCAGAATAAATTTCGAAACAATATGAAAAGTATACGTACTTCTCATACACTCTATCAAACTTATTGTTTTCAATCGACCCCACAGAACACGCTGAAAGTACACTTTATCCACAAAAATATCTGGATGTGGTCGACTCAGCTGTTAATATTCAACATTATGTGTTAGAAAGTGTACTTCCGTTAATTTTTCTCAACTAAGAATGTGGAGTCTAGTTTTTGTTTTTATAAGGAATAGGTCGCATGATTTCTCTATTCATCTTCGTTTCTGATGGGTACAGCACAGAAAAGGTTAGCCATTCTGATGTGTAATGCAAACTTTAAATTCCATACTAAGGTTGTACATCATCAAAAGTTAGCAGATAGAAGTGAAGTGGTATTTTTGGAATACTGGTAGATGGAATAAGATGAAATATACACAAAATATATTGGTTATAAATGAAGCAAAAACATTTTCCGTCAATTTGGTAATTCCTTTAACTTTATGCCTTTTTTCTTGTATTCTCAATTTCATTTATAGTCAAATGGATTGCCTGTTACACGACCAGTAAAAGTTTACTTCATATCTACTCGAGGAGCAGTTACTTCACTTGCATCTGTGGGAGACACTGTAAGTTAATTGTAAGAAATCTACATGCTTTTTATTTTGATTGCAATGCTTATTGGTTGAATCGCTTAACTTTCAGTCACTGACTTCAAGATCCCCCAAACTTACTTTGGTTTTAGAAATCTGTTATCATTAGCAACTTCCAAACTTTGAGTGTACTCCAAATCAGATGTAGTTAATGGTTTACATAAGATTATTGTTATATATCGGTGGCTAAATCTGTAAAATCGAACAATTTTGTTAAAAAAAATTGTTCATGTAATTCGCTTGTTAAAATGCTACACTTGTCATGTTAACCTACTGATGTGTCATACCTCCGTATGGAAGATAACAGATATCTGCCTACTCTCCAGTTTTTAATCATTAGAATATACATGTTTGTCATCAATATTTATTGTAATGGTGACACGTCGTGTTCTTTAGTTAAAACAAATAGTTATTTATGTAGGAGGTATGTCACTTTGCTGTAAGCATCATCTTGCTTTTACTCATACTTTTTTTCTACTGTATTTAGCTAATCGCAGGTAGTTTAGATGGATCTGTTACTGTTATCGTAGTCAATGAACCAGCTTCAAATTACGTTTGTTTGGTGAGTTTTGACAAAATATCTTCATTATTTTACTAAACAACGATATTGCTGTATAAGTAATTTGTATGCTTCACAGACGTATTGGGTTCGCTATGCTACTGCGGAGGTAGATTTTAAAAAGTTTAAAAATGGCGATACTCATAAAGTGATCAAATGTTGTTTTAAGAATTATCGTGCGTTTTACGCTTCTTGTTCCGAGTCCGTAGTATAATCGTTATCAATAGTTAGTGGCACAGAAATACATTATTTAACTTCCTCTAAATATTAGTTTCAATACTATTTCCTACTTCTCATGTTTTTTACATTTCGCTTTCATTGCTACTAGTATTATTATTATTTCATCGCCGTTTTCGCCCCCATAATGGCTTTTTAATGTGGCGATATAGTATAACTACTTAGTCAAACGCATTATTTTTGCTAAGTCCTGCATAGTATACGATTGACCAGCAATAGATAGGTATTTTACAGTCCTATAGTGGCTAAGTGATTTAGATAACAGATCAATAACCGCACGTTTATGGCTGGAAATACTATGATTTAAAATAATCCTACATTTTTGTTCGAACCCGAGTTATACCCAGTAGATTAATTATTGCTTGATATGATGGAAAATAAGTCAATTTTCGATTGAATTACTTATTATGAGTTTTATTCAATATTACATCCGTTTTGATTCAACATGAGGATCATTCAGTGTAGTATTTGGTTGTTTTTCCAGTATGATATTTTCTTCTGTATAATATACGATATTCTTGCATTCACTTGACATAAACTATGCTCAGTAAGTGATTTGTTATAACTGAGTATAAGTGATCAGCGTTTTGTTTTTCCGGCACAACAATTTTATAATTATATAATGTTGTGAAAAGGCCCAGTTCATCTGAGAAATGTGATCGCTCAATACATGCACATATTCTGATCACACATATGCCAAGTTATGCGAACATAGGGTAAGTACATCTGAGGATAAATAGGATGAAGAAAACAACAGGGTTTGTCATATTACGAATAGCGAAATAACGTAAGTATTGGAGTCGTGGATACGTAACATACATCATTTGTTTTTGAACCCATGTAGCTTTAGTGTGGGGATCTGTAGGTACCTGAAGTAAAAAGTCATTAACTAAAACGCATAAGATTGCTTTGGGTTTAGCCATAAACAAATTATATTTGGGTCTAATTGTGTCGAGATAAATTGCTCAACTATCTCACAGTTTCACATGTCTGACCATGAAATTATACTATACAAACACCAGGTAGGAATTCCTAGTTTGGCTACTGTGCTTTTTATCCTTTGATGGCGGTTAGTGGTTATTTGAAGTTTATTAGAAAAGTAGCCCACAAATGTTTTATTCTTTACAAAAGTTCTTCTCGAATCTACTCAGAAATTAGTTGACTATTTCAACTTTTACAAAGTTACGGCGTTAAGATTTTGTTTGACTAAGCTGTGAATGAGTTGTTCTTTCCAGATTATCCGCACCCATTAACCAGGATTTTTGAGTAAGCTCATACGTTCTATTCGCTGATATCACCGAAATTCTGTTCATACATTTGAATTTTTTCTTTTCTGAATATATTTTATTTGTGAAATCCGACCAATTTCGTTTATGTAGCATAAACTCTTACGTTTACTTTTTTAAAACTATTTCCAGTACGGAAGAAAATATGGAGAAAACTGTGGTATCGGCTTCATGGATCGTCGTGACCTTATTAATCATGTGCTTAATGAACACCTTAAATTTGAAAGTAATAAAACAGTAATGTGTGGATGGAGTTCGGGTCGTTGCAGGGTTCGATTCACTGAAACACAAACTATGAAGGCAAGTTAAGCTGTAATATACAAGTTGCATTTATAAATTATAACCTCAATCCATGAATCGGTCACACAGTTACGAATTCGAATCATAGTTGTTTCGATACAGCGACAGTGCTGTCAGTTTTCATCAGTCTATTCATCCCCAGATAAATATATTGACTGTTGCTATCCTCATGGAATGTAGCTCTTAAAGGAATACAGCTTATTCTCATTCGAAGAAAAATGTTTCCTACTAATTATACCTTTAACAGCACTAAATATATCACTGTGAAATCACTGGTACTTTAATTGAAGATGTTATATTTTGATTTCTACTAGATACAAAGTGAAACACTTCATGAATAAATGCATCTAATACATTTTCTAGGTAGACTTCAAATTTTTCATAGTGATTATTTGAAACTATTTCGGCGTACTACATCGTCTCTTATATCTAGTTTTTCTTAGGATGATAGGCCAAAAGCAAGGCTGAAAAAATCAACGATTTGTACTGTTTCAGCAATTATTATTATTGGTATTCATCGCTTGATGTGTTGTGAAACCAATAAAAACGAGTATCATTGTAATTTGGTATAAACACAGTTTTGTGTTACTAGATTTACTTATACTCAAGTAGTAAAAATGGATGCCCTACAGCTTGTTTTGTATTTACTCATTACTTAAGAATTTTTAGAATAGAATAATCGATACATGATACACTCTAACAAACTGAATTTGCAATTTATTTGTATAAATTAGACTAAAGATTACTACTTAAGAGTAATTCTTATCAGTGGTATGCATCTTTCATAACTGAAAACACTTTTTATATTTTTTCAGTCCATAAGCGATCATCTGTTGACTCACATACCAGACTAATTGATTATATTCAGAAAAAACGGCGAATTCAAATCATTTTTATTGTGGATTTCTATGTACAGCAGGAAAAATTATTGAATTTGGTTTCATGTATATTCACAATAAATAAAAGTAGCATTTTGTACATTCTTACTGACGGATTCTTTTTCTATACATAGTCTTTTCAAGTTTTATTGTCCAAAGTTTGCCATACGAGATAAGATGTCTTGTTCGAATGTTTCAAAGTTAGACTTAAAATAGATAAAAAATATATTCGATATATAGGTTAGTATGGAAACTTATGTAAGTGCACTTGTCTTTTTTTACAAACAACCGTACATTAACTGATCACTGAGTAGTGATAATCGTATTCTGTCAATCGAATATTAATTTGGGCACTAGTCTTAGCAACTAAACGCTGTATGAGCTGTCTTAATATTAGATGGCTTTAATTTAGTTGGCAAGAAACTCTAAACCTAGGCATCTTACTAATTGATACTCGGCAGCGGAGTGTGCTTGTGATTCTAAGAAAACGGATGTTTCATAGTGCATTTGAACTGGGGTTCAAAGTTAACGATATATATTGACAAATTCTAGAAAATGAGTATTATGTCTTGTAATTTGCTGTTCTACCCATGAAAAACTACCTTCATATTGCATTTAAGAAACAAAAACTAAATTACTTTTAAGTACCTTAATAATAGTTTTTGTAAGCTAACAGGATCATTGAAATATTTATGCTAAACAAACTGTCAGTGTTGGACTGTGAATACTAATTGTCGCAAACGTTAACTCACTAGGACCTCCAGAAAAGTACCATGATGGATTGTAATACTTAACTAGAACGTTCGTGACAACTAAATATTTTTCCTTCTGTTGCTCTACATTTATCTTAACAGACTTCGTCGCACATGTTTTAATGATTGATCATGAAAGCTAGATGCAATTTTATAACAAGTAACTAGTACCTTACCTACTCAGTAACAGATTTACACTGGGAAAATTTATCTGGTATTACAGAACAAAAATCATTTAGAAAGATATATGTCCAGAGAATCTGACATTTATGGTAACTTATTTGCGTTGCTGGCGTAACAGATTGACAAATTTAGTGAAAATCAGGATTGTGATATTTTAATTCACAACGACTAGAATATTGATCACTTTGAAACTGAATACATACAACTGTCGGATTTTAATACACTCCATTGATTTGTGCAAAGAACAACTAAACATCAGAAATATTAATTGAAGAACTTACAGTTGTACGACTGCCTTCGGATATTGAGAAGAAAGATCTACTAAATCTACAGGGATAGAAACCCTGATCAGCTAAATAGCTCGTAGCATAATTCTCCTTTAGCATTCTCTCACGACACCCTTTACCATACTATTAATGATTTTTACACACACTACCTCTATTTAAGTCGCTTACTTGCTATGGCTAGATGTCAGTAAGTAAACAAACAGACAATACAATCAACCTAACATTGCATACTTCAAAACACGACCAATGATTCGATGCGTTTACTAGATTGTATTTCATCAGCATATAACTGAATGAATACATTGGAAGAACTCATCAGTTTAAAATATTTTGCACTTTATCTACGTATAATACTAGAAGATCCCTTTAAGTTTTACTTTAGACTGACGATTGTATTAAACTACTCAATATGCGTGCAACGATTTCAATATACGTACAAATACTATTTTAACTTATGAACGTTATTATTTATCTACGTCACTTAATGAAATCTATTTATTCAAAATAGTGTCGTTAGATTTCCTATGGAAATATTCCATTTCCGCATACAACCTACAACATGTTAATTCTACATGCTTCTTATTTTTGTTCTTTATTGATTCGCAATTCAAAGCATAGTTTTCTATTACTACTAGTTACTTTACTTTTGTGCCTTTCGATGTGGTTGTTATTCTGTTGCTTGTTAATTACAAAACATTTCTACACTAGTATAAACCGGCATAATTGACTGGATGCTTAATGTGCTTAATATATTGATGCATTTTGTGAATATGAATAACAGAGACAAGTGTAACATGAAATCTTACTACAAATAAAGCGTGATTGAAATCGACCATACCTTATTATTTGGAGTTGGTTCATATATGAATTTATCTTTCTCCACTTGTTTATCTTTGACGTTATTTGAATCACTAACCACATTTGTGTTACTTATTGACAACCATGATAATTGAAGGGGTAAACTTGGAAGACCAACTGCCCCACGTTCAGATGCCTTTATTGCTTTTTTCTATAACGAAAAACAAAATTTAGAGTCGTAAGTGATATTGGAATGATTTAGCCTACATTACACTGGTGAAATAAACTTACGTGAATAAATGACGTTCAGTATCTTGGGTAAACAACTGTCTATAAATACTAGCACTTTTTTGTTTATGGTCGTATTAGTTCTCCGAGTTTCATCTCCGTATAGTGGAACTGTTCTGACGTCCGTATTGAAAATTCTGACTTTGATATTGGTTGGCAATTGTTTTTAGTTCTATATATTCTTCAACTGTAGGAGTGCGACCCTTGCTATCTCGACCCTCTTCTTTACATCTGAATCAGATCCTCCTTGTTCATCTGTGATGCTGTCCAGGTACCTGAATGTTCCCACCTCTTCCAGAGTTTTACCATCAAATGTGATTGGGTTGGTGTTCTTCATGTTGTATTTGAGGATCTTGCTTTTTTCCTTCTGTATGTTGAAGCCTACTGTTGCAGAGGCTACTGCTACACTGGCTGTCTTCACCTGCATTTGTTGCTGTGTATGGGATAGAAGAGCCAGGTCATCTTCGAGGTCCAAATCGTCTAATTGCATGAAAGCTGTCCATCGTATTCCGTGCTTCCCCTCAGATGTGAAAGTCTCTATAATCCAGTCAACTACCAGAAGAGAAAGGAGAGAGTAAACAGCCTTGTCTGACTTCGGTCCTTACTTGAGTCTGTTAGCTGTTCTCCATACACGAATTTTGAAGATGGGATGTAATGCTTTTTCTCGAGTTGATCAGTCCATTTTTAGCTTCATTTTTATCATGACTACAACCAGGTGATGATCTGAAACTATGTCAACTCTTCTTTTTATTCTTTTGTTCTTCAAGGATCTTTTGAATTTGTTAATCATGTAAATGTGGTCGATCTGGTTTTCTGTAGTATGGACTGGTAAAACTCATGTAGCTCTGTGTGCGTTTGTGGGGGAATATTGTGCCACCTATAGCCATTTCGTTGAATGCACGTAAATTTGCGAACTACTCACCATTCTCATTCGTTTCTTCCAGTTCATGTCATCCCATGTTATCTTCATATCCGGTGTTGTCCATTCCGACTTGGGCATTTAGGTCTCCCATCAGGATACTTCTATATGAATGATTTCAGCATCTCATAAAACTGATATTTATCACCTTCGTTGCTATCATTGGTGATTGCACAGCATTGGATAACATTCATTGTGATTTCTTCCTTCTTTGACGTTAAGGGTGCTTTGATGATCCTCAATCCATGAGATGTCCATCCTATAAGTGCTTTATGTGCTTCTTTGGACAGCATCAGTGCAGCTCCCTGAGTGTGCTGAGCATTTTTATCCTTATGATCAGAGCACAACAGCATCTCTCTCGAATCTAATCTCTGTCCAGCTTGGCTCCGATGGGTTTCAATTATTCCGAGCACGGCCAATTTCTACCATTTCATTTCCGTAACTATTTGAAAGGTCCTCCCGATCTCTCACATTGTCCGGAGCTTCCACGTATTTACATAAATTGTCACTGCGGTTGTTAGGAGGGGCATCGTCTTCGTGACTGTCGAAGATTCCCGGCTTTCACTGTTAGGGGCCATAGTTTTTCTGAATGAACATCCTTCGACTCGGAGGACAAAGTCTAAATGGTTTAAATTACTTATTCAGGTTAGTATTTTAGCAAGATTGTTTTCTACTGGATGGGGCTGCTAACCCCATAACCAACCCTCCCTTTTTATTCGGGCTTGAGACCGGCAGTAACCCTAAAAGAGCTACAGACGAAGTAGTTGTACTTTATTATCGGGTCGATCAAGGCACAATGTCTTTGAACACAGGAACCAATTATTAAGTATATAACAAGGTGATCGAGTCACTTAGTCATAACACAACAATCCCATCTTTTAGCGTAATAACAAATATGAATAAACTTCGTTAAAACTCAACTTACTGCTTCATTATAAGTGGAAAACTCAGCAATGGCACTGCCACGTTTACCAATGACGAAAGCTATCACGTCACCGAACTACAAATAACAATTAAAAGTACTTAAGTAAATAGTTAACTAACAGGTATTTCATCTATCTCTTAAACTTAATAACCAGTTTGGATACTCAATCATCTTGTGGTAAAATGTGCTAGTTGAATAGTGTACAATATAGTTAATTGTCCAACAGTAAATACTACATGTGTATATTGATAAACAGGAAAATATTCACTATACTAGAATTTGGCTTTCTAAGATATTTAGAGTACAATAATTTAGACAAATTTGCTTAACTGTCCTAAGTTTGAGTGATCAGTTACAATACTGTTTGGATTCAACAAGGAAAATGCAGCCTCAAATACAGCACGTATGTGTCTTACGCACAGATGGAAATGGTTTGAATGACTATATGGCAAAATCCTTGTTTGTTTGCACTTGCCTTTGGTTGCTGCTAAGCAAACTAACAAGAATTTGGCAGAAAACAACTTCTTTATTCGATTACACGCGTAACGTATTGAATGAATTTCGGGAGTGTTATATGTGATTATCTCGAAGAGAATATTCAAAGAAACGAGTAGTATATCGATTAAGTAACGCATCTTATTTACTTTCATGAATGAAGATTTTATACGAATTAACATGCTGAACAAATAAATTAATATATTAGTAATATCCCAATAAGTAGCAAAATTAGATTTTCTGACGTTTCGTGACATAGTGTAAACCAAATTTAATTATTTATTCTCTGAAGAAGTGGCTTACACAAAGTCACGAAACGTCAGAAAATCTAGTTTTTCTACTCCTTGGGATATTACGAATATATTATTTATTTACAACAATCTACCCAATGCTCAATTTATTCGAAATTATCAAATCAAACCTTGGTAATGATACCTACAAACTCATTAATGCTAAACAAAGTTTTTGGACCTATTTCATCATATGTAGAGTCTAACTACAAAATATCTACATATACAGATGGGCCTAATTCACTACCCAATATTGAGTAGCATAGGTAAGTCCAATGTAAGTAATGTACTGCGTTGCTGCTAAACCTTATGCGGGAAACTGTTAGGATGATGGTTCTGATTACGGAAATGTATGACGAAGCTGACTGACTCTACTACATTAATAGTCCCCAGAAAGAATGATAATTGAATAGATGGGGAAAGCGACCATATATAGTTGTCTAATACATGTCCTTTTTCAATGAACTACCGTTCAGTCAAACATAAGCAACGTAGAACCTAGCACATATATGCATAGCAAGTTCCCATACAACAACGGTACAAGACAAAATTAACACAATTAAACACCTTCGGGAGCTGAGTTCTAAATTTTGTTTTAGAAATTCCCAGTCTTTGAAATAAGTTTACGAATTCAAATAGACATCTGATGGTTTTTCAATATTCATTACTTTTTAAATATACCTCTGATAAACATGTTCTTAGGAACGATTCTGTGTAGCAAGCGTTGGCCTGAAAGTTTTCTCCGTAAGCCCATTTTATCTGTTTAAAACAACAATAAAAGTAACTAGTGAACAAGATCATAAAAGTAAGGACATTTTCATATGCGTAAGTTTTTTTAAGGCAGTAAATTACAATTTCTCCCTACTTTGAACGTACCGAACGTTAACAAGTATATTAGAGTTTTATACGTATGTACTGCAACGGTTATGCAATGTTTGCATATCTATATTACTCAGTACTAGTGTGATGAACAAGAAACTAAGTGGGGACAATCAAATGTATTAGAACACGAAATTACAGAACATCTTTCTAAAATCTGAGAACTATACAGTAAATACCTAGTTTGCAAAATATCAATCAATTGTCTCAAACTTGACTGTTTCATTTGCAAATATCAGTCCATCGTCTTGGATTTTATTGTCCCTGCATTTTTATACCGATTTCTTTCCGTTCCCGTTCTTTTTTTCCCTCGATCTTCTACTGGAATACATTCTATTCCTGACTATCGTAACATACTACTTATGTGGATATAAGCAGCTCACACCATAATTGCTTACATTATCCATTTTTCACTGGTTTATTAAGACATAACACTTATTTCACCTGTGCTCACAATTAGTACGGACTCAGAAGTATTGAAATAACCAGTTTTTTGCATTCGCTTAGGAACTACACTGGTCAGGGTTTTATAGCAGGGATTCCGAGGTTTTCAGCAAACGTTAGTAATAAATAAATAAATCATAACTTCTGAAAGTAGGAATAATTTGTTTATTTTTAACAATCCTCCAAAGTCGCAATATTTGTCCTCAATAGTCAACACAGCAAAGCCATTTTGAAATAAAACCATATCAAGCATCATAGCTTGAAAATGTATTTGTTTCATTTGGGTTAAAATAAAAACATTGTAAAAGAGAAAATAACTGGTTCACACTGTGCTTCTATCCAATGTGTCTTAAAACCACAGATTACCGAATAAATATAGATCAAAATTAGAAATAATCTCAAAAATACAAATTACATTTGCAATAAGCATTTACATTCTTAGGATGGGGATTTAGTTTAACGGCTTAGGAAGGCTTGTATTCTCGACTATTTTACAGAATCGGTTTGTATAATAATGGTTTTCCGTCTCTTTATAATTCAATCGCTTTAATACTATGTTGAAGGTAAAAATAAGTCACTAATACTAACATTTCTGAGAATGTAATGGATTCAAATGGATTGATTTCTTAACTGCTATAATTAACAATGATCATGAATGTCCTTTGGCAATAAATAATCATCGACAATACTTAACTTCTATTATTCAATCAGTCAGTAACAACGTAGAACTTCGTACGTACGTACATCAGTTCGAGTTGCCACAACACATTTGCAAAGAGATGCAGTTGTCGATTCAAACCCCGTACTAGTACAGATGGTAAGAGTACAGACAGTAATCGGAAAAATTAGGGTTTGAAGACGTTATTCAAGGAGTATAATCCAGTGAAATAAATTTAAAAAAAGAGAAAAAAGGGACATGAAGAATTCAGGAGATTAAAATTTGGGAGAACACAAAGAGTGGATGCACCTGCGCCATTGCAAACGATTTTTAGCCATGTCATTCAGGGTCTCTAACCATCGGTTGCTATCATCTCACGGTCCCCAACCAGGTAGTCTACACCTACCAACATGACTCAGTTCACTTGTCAGTGATTTCATGGACTTGTGCCATGTTTTGGTCTGGCCGCCTCTATCTTTCTTCCAACCTACTCCTACCACATCGAGGTAGTCGGTCGTTGGGCATACGTAACACGTGTCCCAGCCATCTCAACTGATGAAGTTTCACTACGTCATCAATTGATTTGCCACCCTTACCTAGTACCCATTTCCTAACAACTGTGTTACTTACTCGATGGTCCCTGGATATGCGAGCAATATTTCGAAGACAGCTATGATCAAATACTAGTAACCTACGGATATCCTCTACTCTTACCGGCCATGTTTCACTGCCATAAAGTAGGACGGAACGAACTGCTGCGCAGTAAACCCGTCCTTTGGTTGATAGACGGATATCTCGCCTACGCCATAAATGACGCAAGTTGGCAAAAGCTAGTCGAGCCTTCTGTATCCGTGCTGAGATTTCGTCACACACCAGACCACAAGGGCTGATGAGACTTCCAAGATAAGTGAAGCGGTCGACATACTCAATTACTTCACTCCTTATCACTAGTTCAGGTGTTGATGTAACCCAATCCTGAAGCAACATTTTGCATTTCGAGGGGGAGAATCGCATGCCGAACATGCTTACATTGTTGCTTAGAGTGGTCAGAAGACTCTGCATTTTGTCAGCGTCTTCACCAAATAAAACTATATCATCAGCATATTCTAAGTCGACAAGTGAACCTCCCGATAGAAGTTCAATCCCTGGAAATCTAGACGAGGAAAGTGTTATTACTATTAGTACTACCATTGTGGGACGTCTAAATGTGTGTCTGTGTTCTAGAACCTGACATAGTGTGAATATCTGATCTACTGCCGCTGCCTTTTCCATCTCTCTTGCTTTCGCTACCCACCACTGTTCGCGATCATTGCGTAGACTTTTTGTCAGCTTGTGCTTTAGCTGACTCCGCTCTTCATTATGTTCAGAGTCAGGTGGAATGCGTTTCCGAGCATCTATCAGTGCGATAGATGCTGCTGAGATCCAGTGTTTCTCCCTAAGCTTACGGTTTACCTTACTAGCAGATATCACTGCTGTTTCCACAGCTTTTCGCATATCATTCCATGCTGCATCGGGGTGGGCATCACATACATGACTGCCTAACTGTTTTCCTAGTTGTTCCTGAAATATACTCTTAGTTCGACTATCATTAAGTAGGCCCCATAGAGGTTTCCTTGCAGCGTCTTTCCTACGTCCAGTAAGATGCTGACAAATACGCGCTCGTACTAGAGCATGATCTGAATCTAAGCATGTGCCTCAGAATGGGCGACAGTCTTCTATCGAGCCCCTCCATCGGTGGCTGATAGCGATGTGATCTATTTGGGTCCAACGTTGGGACGAATTAGGAGGTCGCCATGTCAAAAGATGTTTTTCCTTATGCTTAAAGTTAGTATTTGCAAGGAACAGGCGGTTATCTGAGCATAGCTGCAACAGACGGTAGCCATTATCTGTTCTTTGAGCCACGACACCATAAGATCCGATTAGGTGTTTTTCCCTATCGTTTAGTTTACCTACTTGAGCATTAAAGTCACCGGTCACTATTACTACATCAGAGCGCCTAGCTTTTCGGGGAAGATCGGAAAGCTTTCTGTAAAACTCATCTTTTACATCATCTGAGCTGCAGTCTGTGGGAGAATAGGCAGAGACGACGAAGAGGCAACGACGAGTGTCCCTATCTTTCCGGATCCTTACTGTTCCGTTCAGTCGGACAGCGCACAAACGACTGTCTACTGGGATCCACTCTAAGAGAGCTAGTTCTGCCATAGGACTCAACGCTATACCTACGCCGGCGAGGCCACGGGAAGCAGAATCATGGCTTCCAGATACACGAAGCGTAAATCGAGTCGGTTCTTTATTTTGGCATGGTGAGGTCAAATGAATGACGCTACTCGGATCCTGTATGCGCGTTTCGGAGACGCAGCACATATCGATGGCCCGAGATTCTCAAGTTCTAGCTAAGGAAGTCTGTTGTCCTATTTGGCACAGTGTTCGGACGTTGAAAGCTCCTACGTGTAGTTTAGAGCGTGGTTTCAGGAGAACAGGAATAGCGTTCCGCGTACTTGGATCGTGTGCCTTAGCGGTTCAAGGTGATAAAGGGACGTGAGGAGGGTTAGTCGTGGAGATAAGAGTGGTATTAGGAGGTGTAGGAAGGATTTGAATGTGACCAACTTGGTCTCGTGTGTTGTTACAGGTATGAGGTCTGGTGTTACTTCCCGGCTGCCCACACCGTGGAAGGGTATTTCTTGAGGAACCTGAAAAGGAAGTTGGATTAATTTTGGCCCTGACGACCTGGGAGCGTGACTGCAGAGCCCAGGGGACAACTGCTTGAGGCCGGTCGCGCACGGCCTTTTTTGTAAGGTTTTTGACGTGTTAGCTCCGTTCTTCAAAGGGCCTTACCGCCGGAGACGGAAATCCGTGAGGTAAGGTGAGGTGTGACATTTTTAGGGTCGACCTTTTCCAATCCCTTCCTTCCTTGTGAGAAAGCAGCATCGCTGCAGATGCTGGTTGTTCGAGTGAAACACCTTACTGCTGTCACACCTCTGTACAGTCAGCAGTACGACTTCGGCCTCAAACCTTGAGTTGCTGCTTTTAGTCTTACCGTTCTCCAATCGACCTGCCTGGCATGGTAGATCCTACAGGAACATATGTTCCAGCCAATATAGCTCGGTTGGGTCATCACGATAGGCAACTACGACCACCGCGCCAAGGTAGCAGCTACAGTCGGGACTTTCATTATGAGATTATTAGGTTCAGTTCGGTTTTAAGTGAAACTGCTCGTCAGTTTCTGATGTCAGTTTAAACAGGATATAACTAAGATATCTCCTACACAACGTGTAACTGTTCTATTCAAGCTGAAAGCTCTCAAAAAATCATTCTTACTAAATAACTTTCTTATTTTATCATGAGATGAGTTGTACACATATTCATGATTTTAAAGTATAAGTGCCAGGATTTGACTATCAAAGAAACGGAACAGAAAGATTATCTTTAGTTAATGAAGGTTCATGGGAATAAAGACGAAATCTAATAGTTTAATATTAGCATTAAATCTATCGATTACGTTCAAGAAATGGGTTAAAACTTACTCTCACCACAGCCTGATCAGATTTAGTACATTTGAACTTCACATCGTCAGTCTCCTCATTTGTAGATTTTCGTTTCCTTTCAGCTTGCCACTTCATTTCTTCAGTATGGCGTTCCCAATCCCTGCGAATCTGGTCGGCTGCTTGTTGTTTAACCACAGTTTCAAACTGCCTCTTCCGCAAAGCCATGGCAGCTGCTTCTCTCGCTTCTAGCTCTTAGTTCAGAATAAATGTGGAAATTTCATATACATAAGAATTATGTTAAAATATAGCAACTTTGTAATACAGTTATGTAAGGTATGAAATAACAAACTTTAGTATTCAGCACAGCATACAAAAATAACTGAATCAGTATATCAAAACTGCTTTGAGCAATAAAATCTATAGATATCACTTTTTCTCTATATTGATTTGTTTTTCTATTAGATATTAACTTGAGAATAGAAGAACCAGCAGCAACAAAAAAGCCTGTTGATAAAATTAACACAAAGTTAATGAATACGTAGAATTCCACATCCTAACACAAACCTGAGTCAGTTAACAACTAACTGAAAACAGTGATAGCAGACATGACTAAGTTTGGTCACTTCATGAATCAAACGAACTCCACAGCTAACTCGGGAAATACATGCGAAACATCTTTTGAATCCGATTGAACGTTCCTTCTGATTATATGATAGCAACGAGGTCATATACAAGTGTACTATATGATGGGAACTCAAAATGAGTAGCCTGTAGTAATATACGCGTCTTACTACAAGGAAATCACTAATGAAGTTTTCGATTCACCCTTTGTTATAACAATTCTAAAGGCCATTGATTGCTACGAGGTGAGGAAAACTATTTCGCACTGACAGAAAATTCAAAAATCTTCCACCAACGAATTAGAAGAGTAAACAACGAACGATTAGGCAATTACAAATAAACTCATTAAAGTTAAAGAATTTTCATCGTGTTTTACTAACTGAATTATATGAGAATACTTGTTTATACATTTAAGTAAAAAAGCAAATGAGGTGAGACTATAATTTAAGGACAACCTCTGAGCAACACTAAAGTGACCTCGAGTGTCCACCTACTTACTAGAACTAAATGAAGGTTATCAGTCAGTCAGCTACAATGTAGGATCAGGCACATATGTGCATCGGTCCAAGTTGCCATACCTCATTAGTACAACAAGATGAACGCCGGATTCATAGTAGTTAAATCAGTGGTGGTAATATGTAAAAGATTGCATATAAGAACATAGTACAGGAAGGGCTAGTTAGTTCGTAGAAAGAAAGATATGGGAAGAATAAAGATTATGATTTACAGTTGATTGCTAGGGTTGGAATTAGATTCCGGGTTCTCATCACTAACTGACATCAGCTAAAATGTTAAAAGGTTATTTAGCCAAATGGATTAATGAATTTCACGTCAAAACCCAAGACCAATAATCCTATATCTTATTGATTTGTCCATAAATTATAGTCTCGCCGCAACCGCTTTGAAATATCTGTCATGCTGTATGACTAGCAAAGTAACATTTTGGTAACTACTTCATATACACTTTTCAAGATAAGTCTACTCAGAAAAAATTAGATAGGCGGCACACATCACGAATATATCAATAAAAATAACAGGACAGAACTTCATAACTTACCTTCTTTAAGCTTTCTTCGTGAAGAGTCCATAGATTCCATTCTTTTAATAGCCTCTCTTTTTGCTTTCCATTTCTGATCATATTCTTTCTAAACCACATTAAACATAGAAATACCCTATTAAAAGGCCTTATGAATTAATGGAAATGATTATCGTCAACAGGAACGTGATACATGTATTGAATTTACATACAAAAGCAAACAAATTGACAAAGTGCATAAATCCTTTAAACAAACGTGGCGTTAAGTTTGATCCTGAATGGAATACAGTAAGCCATTATTTTGAATTTTAAAGCGGACAACTAAATCGATATTAGGATTTCTGCACCATAATTTGCAACACGTTTTTACGACTAGTCACGATAAATACTATATAACTTTTTGCCTTATGAGGAATACTTACCCAAAGAAGTGCAATGTGTTTTCCAGAACATTACTGATAAGACGAAAGCTGAATTTACAATTGATATACAGGCTTTTTCTCGACAAGAAAATACAAGTGTAACAAGACGAACTAATCTCATGAAATAGGAGCGCTTGTAGTCTGCATATTACTCATCTTTTGTGGCCCACTAGAATTTACTGCCATGAATAATAGAGAGCGATGATCCGGGTGCAGTCCCCTAAGTTTGACTACATGCTAAAGGTCCCCAACTCCAGACACTATATTGACACAACCAATATACAAGCATATATCCAAATGATTTTTTTCAAGTGATGCGTTAAACTAATACCTAAATCCTGAAAACTAAGCTTCATACTCAATAATACATAATAAAATGCTATCTGAACAGCCGAGTAATATAGTTAGCACGACCGAAATTTCTGACTGAGATTAACACAGAAATTTAAATTTAAATACCGAGTTTTCATACTTTCAAACTATAAACATAAGCATTCATGCGCTTAGTCACAAACGTTGGGTTAAGACTTCGGATTACAGTGATACTGACTATTTTAGCCTACATCGAACTCAGTTTTCCCATATAAACTGAACATTTATATGTATCAAAGGTGGTATGCAGTCAGTCAGTCAGTAACAACGTAGAACTTCGTACGTACGTACATCAGTTCGAGTTGCCACACCACCTTAGCACAGAGATGCAGTGGTCGATTCAAATTCCGTAGTGGTAGAGGTAGTAAGAGTATAAGCAGTAATCGGAAACATTAGGGTTTGGAGATGTTATTTAAAGAGTATAATCCAGTGAAATAAATTTGGAAAGAGGAAAAAAGAGACAAGGAAGATTCAGGAGATTAGAATTTGTGAGAAGACAAAGAGTGGATGTACCTGCGCCATTGCAAACGATTTTGAGCCATGTCATTCAGGGTCTCTCACCATCGGTTGCTATCATCTCACGGTCCCCAACCAGGTAGTCTACACCTACCAACATGACTCAGTTCACTTGTCAGTGATTTCATGGACTTGTGCCATGTTTTGGTCTGGCCGCCTCTATCTTTCTTCCAACCTACTCCTACCACATCGAGGTAGTCGGTCGTTGGGCATACGTAACACGTGTCCCAGCCATCTCAACTGATGAAGTTTCACTACGTCATCAATTGATTTGCCACCCTTACCTAGTACCCATTTCCTAACAACTGTGTTACTTACTCGATGGTCCCTGGATATGCGAGCAATATTTCGAAGACACCTATGATCAAATACTAGTAACCTACGGATATCCTCTACTCTTACCGGCCATGTTTCACTGCCATGAAGTAGGACGGAACGAACTGCTGCGCAGTAAACCCGTCCTTTGGTTGATAGACGGATATCTCGCCTACGCCATAAATGACGCAAGTTGGCAAAAGCTAGTCGAGCCTTCTGTATCCGTGCTGAGATTTCGTCACACACCAGACCACAAGGGCTGATGAGACTTCCAAGATAAGTGAAGCGGTCGACATACTCAATTACTTCACTCCCTATCACTAGTTCGGGTGTCGATGTATGCAGTACGCACTTAGTCATAACTGGGATATACCTTTGGCACTTTTTAGAGATAAAACTTCATCCTTCTTATCTTTCGGGTGCACAAAACAAAATTACAGTGAACCTTATACGCCTAAATTTTAATATCTGATACATAAGCCTCACTAATATAGAACTTATACAAAAAATGAATATTGAGATAAACCCCAGTCCATGATGACGTTCTAAAACCTAGAAGTCATTGTTTTGCATGAAGGGTAACATAGAATTCCTAATTTAATAAGTTGAACGACCTAGTTACGAAAGCCCATCTATCTAGTTTATCAACACACACATTAGCAAGAAATAAGATGTGTTCATGATATCATCAAATATGTTTTAGTGAAAATAATGATGATTGTTCATTTAAAAATGCTATCCATTATTAGGTTGGATTTCTGAAAAAGCTCAAAACTGAAATGATATGTGATTAAAAATAATGAAGTTTGAATAAGATCACCATAACATACCCTTTTAACGGGATCGTGAAGAATTCCGAAATAAATAGCCAGTTGCTGAAATGATTCCTCTTAGGAAATAATTACTAGGTATGATTACATACTTGCCAACGGATTGTCTTGATTTTTATCAGGATGTGCCTCCCTTGCCTTCTTCTTATACGCTCTCTGAATGTCCTTTGCAGTACAATCATCTCTGAGGCCAAAGTACGCGTACAAATCAACATCCATCGGAACGAGACGCTGTTTATTACTCAGAACTCGACACTAAAGTAACTAATGTCATCGAAGTTGCGCTCACTGCGAGTGTCCCGCGTTACGCTTGTGAAGCATTCCAACATCCTCATGATGAGCTTTTTAAGTGGATTGGTTTATTTAGGCTTGTGTCTTGGTTTAAGACTGTAGATTTAGGTATGGTTTTTAGGTTACAATGATATATCAAAAATCAAGTGGTTTTATATACTAATTATTCACAATATTTTAAACTATGAAACTAAAAGCATATAAATTTGAAACTTCAGTAAGGTGTGTAGAATATTTTTTAAGAGGAAGTGTTATTTAACCAGTTTCTTTATGTACATGTCTTTTTGTGCGAAGCATTAAAGTATTGCACGCGTCAAGTGCCATGTCAAGCTCTTATGAGTTATTCTAGAATATGTACGTACCAATTTATTCTTTCTCCTTGAGTTTCATCTTAACCTTGTTGGTTATCCACTTATCAACCTACTTTTTGTATGTGAGCGTGTATATGCATTGCTTATCACAATTCAGTAGCTTACTTTTGTCAGACTATAAATTTTGAGTCACGCTTGATCAAATTGGGTTGGCTTATACTCATTCTCTGCTCATCTTCCACTTCTCGCGTTTTGCTTCACCGACAACCATAAAAATCCTGATCTTTAGAAATGTTTCTGCCCTGCAATCGTGGGTAGACTGAAACTATCTTTGTCACCACCAATGTCTGCTGATCAGTAACCTTACCTTGCCCCATGCTGTGACATTACACATATTTAGGTGATACGAATTGTTTCAAAGAAGACGGCGGAAACATAAATGAAGTTGCTTTATGCATTAGCAGTGAACCTACAACTACTAAACATACACCAAATTTTTTGTCGTCTAATTATCTAGACAGCAATCAGTTCTGAATTATTTGGATTTAAAAGTATTTGACATTAACTAAGTGGTCATCGGAATACATGTACAAATCAAAATTTCAATAAGTTTAACTGCTTTAAATAAATAAATATGGTTAAACTTTTAGTTACGCATTGGCTCGTATCTAACAATAACCCCACGCTTTTCAGTTTTATACTCGTTTCAACCAATTCACTATTCTCAATAACATTGTCTAATAACACCCATTCACAAAGCAATGTGTAAAAACACCTGCTCATAGAGACCTGCAGATGGCTGAAATATTTTGACAAACTGTTTTAAAAATGAGCTTAACCAGTACAAGCTGAGTATATGTAAAACGTTTAGCTGCCGTAGCATTTGACGCTCTATTTTAATGGATGGCATGCTATTGAACGAAGCGATCATTATCAGCACGTTTTTAAAATCATGGTACCGTACCTAAAATTGCACACTAGTTCAACGGCACATCAATGTCTATAAAGTTCCCCTATATATCCTTGGAAACATAAGACCTTGTCGAAACTAAAATTATCAGTATCAGAGACGAGTATTTACAAAACTATTAATTTCAAGATTTATCACAGGTATTCAGTGTTTGACAACGCTTCTACCAGTAACACCTAATATATTTCGTTCCCACCCAGAGAAATCAAAAGACAGAGTCGAGGAGATCGGAAGAGTATATTTGGCGATGACCAATATATCGGAATTCTCTGATCTAATCTAGCTAGCGATTGCGGTTGATGTTGAGCACAGCGTTACCACACGTGATCTGGTGCGGATGCATGACTGAGCGCCTTCATCTAGATGAGTCCACTAAAACATATGGTCAGCATCCAATGTCGAAAACTTACAGAGCTATTTATTTTGGGTATATATTTACCGCTACAGAGGGATTTTCACACACACGCACACAACATTCAAAACGGATTTTACAGTGTCCTCAATGATTAAAGGATTCAGGAATGTCTGTTTTTGTTTCGTGGAACCCCAGCAAAAATTTGTCTTTAGTTTCGGAACCAGATATTTTCGGGTGTATTTCCATCTTGTTCAGATTATAATAATTATCCGTGAAAGTGTAAGTGCATGTCGAAATACAGTCGTATGTGCGTAAAAACACAATGTCGGCGAAAAAATGGAAAATATACTCAAAACACGTAATAGCGTTAAAAAAATGTTTTTTATGTTTTTTTAAATAAAAATATAAATATATAGGCATATTAAAATTGTTTTTTTCTAAAATATTAGATATCGTAAAAAGAGAAATCGAGATAATATAATATGTCGAGTAGTGCCTTACGCGCCGTAGTCGTTTAAATGTTCTGGAAATCTTACTCTTCTTCCAGAACGCATATATTTTCGGATAGATTCGGAGTATCCTCGCTGGTGTTGGTTGTCGGTTGATGAATCATGAGTGTAGGAGTCGTGTTGTGCGACTGTACCGAAGGAAAGTCGACGTGAATATGATTTCCTTTTAAATACGCTGCTTTTAAGCGATCGATGCTGATGCTATCGTTGGTTCTGTCCTTTTCGATTATACAGCACTTAGGTTCGCGTTGAAGAACTTTGAAGAGTACTACGTATGCTGATTCGAATGGTCGTCGATGAGAGTCTCGACGAACGAAAACGTGTGTGTGGAGGAGAGAGAGGACGTTTCCATTTCACGATAACGTCTTGTTGATAATCATGTCAAAGATGTGTGATAACTAGGTGTATTTGAATTATAGTACGAACTAATAATCCCAGAAATAACGTAATCGGATCAAGAACTACTAAATAACCACAAACGAATGTACTGTATTTGGAATTCGAAATGAAGAATTGAACAAGTACAAATGAATCATTAGTTCATTCAAACACCTTATCTACCACAGCCTTAATTAGAGTTTGAGTGTCTGTAATCGATTGTACGTCCTCTTCTTAAGTTCATCCTGTGTCTGTTCATCATCGTATTGGATAAAAATCCTATTATCTAGAATGCACTTTAAGATGACACAGGTATTCAGAGTTTGACAACGCTTTAACCAATGACACCTAATAGGAATCGTATCCACCAAGTGAAATCAAAAGCCAGAATCGAGGAAGTTCTAAGATATATTTGATAGGCTATCAATATATCGGGATTGTCTGATCTAATCTGGCTAGCGATTGCAGGGTTGTTGAGCACGGCGTTCCCACACGTGATCTGGTGCGGGTGCATGACCGAGCGCCTTCAGTTAGGTGATTCTATTAAAACATATTTTCAGCATCCAATGTTAAAAACTTATAGAGCCATTTATTTTAGGGATTTATTTACCGCTACATATCACTCCTCCCTATTGGGGTAGTGATGACCCTAAGACGTGGCCAACCAGAAATTTAAACCCAACGAGTTTGTCGTTGGTAAACACTTCTGATAGCTTGCTAGGTTTAGCAGCGTCTGATCGTCTTTCCTGACTATAAGGGACCATGAAATACAATGTAATTAGAAAACAATGTGCAATGAAAACTTTGGTTCCTCGTAAACCTCATTGTTCTTTATATTGTCTTTCCCAGCCGTCCTGGAATAGAAAAAAGAATATGTAAGTGCATGTCGAAATAAACTCGTACTCGCTTTAAAACAGAAAATTGGCGAAAAAATGTAAATAACGTAAAAGCGGATTATACAAAAAATTTTTTGTTTTTGTTATTAAAAATTTTTTAAATATATATATTAGCCAAATAATAAGTATATATAAATATAAGCATGTTAAAAATTCTTTATATTATATATAATGCCATGGAAAATCGAGATGAAACGAAATGTTAATTAGTGTCTTACGTGCAATAGTCATTTAAATGTTCCGAGAGGCTTACTCTTCTTCCAGAACGCGTTGTTTTAAGTTTATTTTCAGATACTGTCGAAGTATCAGCGTGTGTGTTGGTTGTTGGATGAAGTCGTGTCGTTCGATTGTACCGAAGGAAAGTCGACGTGAATAGGATTTCCTTCTAAGTACGCTGCGTTTAAGCGATCAATGCTGATACTATCGTTAGTTCTGTCCTTTTCGATTATACAGCACTTAGGTTCGCGTTGAAGAACTTTGAAGGGTCCTTCGTATGCTGATTCGAATGGTCGTCGATGCGAGTCTCGACGTACGAAAACGTGTGTACTATATCGTTAGTCAGGCTGAACGAAAACATCGGTTGATTGAGGTCAAGTGGAAACAGGTGTAACTGAACGTATTGCGTTTGTAAGCCTGTTCGTGTAGGAGGTTAGATCCATGTTCACTGAAGAGGATGAAGGATCGATGAACTCTCCTGAAAGTCGAAGTGTCGTTCCATAAACGAGTTGAGACGCAGTGTATCCAATGTCAGCTTTCACTGCATTGCGGATACCCAGTAAGACGAGTGGAAGAGCGTCGGTCCACTGTGAAACGTTTGCAGCTGATAGTGAAGCTTTTAGTTGTCGGTGAAAACGTTCTACCAACCCGTTTGCTTGTAGGTGGTAGGCAGTCGTTCGGAAACGATTGGTTCCTAAAAGTGTGGTCAGACGACGGAAAAGTTCAGATTCAAACTGACGTCCGCGATTTGTAGTGATGGTTGAAGGGCAGACGAAGTTTGCTACCCATCGTTCGACGAAGGCGCGAGCCACTGTTTCAGCAGTGATGCCCTTGATAGGTACTGCTTCTGGCCATCGCGTGAAACGGTCTACGCAGGTTAAGAGGTAAGAGTATCCATTTGAATCTGGCAAAGGTCCTACCAAAACCAGATGAACATGGTCGAAACGAGCATCGGGAGTTTTAAACGAGCCTAGAGGACATTTATTGTGTCTGATAACCTTAGATTTTTGGCAGCTTACACTGGAGCGTGCCCACTCCCTCACGTCTTTATTCATACTAGGCCAGCAAAACCGTTCTGCTTTAAGGTTGATGGTTGCACGAACGCTTGGATGAGAAAGTTTGTGCAATGTATTGAAGACATTGCGTCGATAATTTTTCAGCTCGATTGGCCGACCCCTACCTGTGGATGTGTCACACAGTAAGGTATCCTTACCTGTTCCCATCTGTTTGATGCGTAGTTTGAGGGTTGTAGACAATAACTGGTGCTAAAGATCAATGTCTTCTTTTCGAAGC